TTATGAGTAAATTGTACGTGTACTTTTGGACTTTGTTTTTATTCCTCAGGAGGGCAGGCATAGGTGATCAGAGGTCCAGTCCCAATTCTTCAGTTCCTATGGATAAAGGACTGTAAGTTTGGCACCTTTTCATGGTTCTAGCTAAGCAGCAGTACCACAGCTCTGTCTCTCTGCTCCCAGTCCCTCTAAGCCAATTCCCTCAAGCATGGAAAAGGCTCTGCCTGTTCATCTCAGCTGCAGTTAATTTTATTGCCCGCTGTTGTCTGTGTTAGGCTGACCTATAGTAGCATGCCACAAGCTTTTTCACATGTGTTTGCTCAGCTAGAAAATCTACCCAGGAGTTTCCTGAGTGCCTGCTGCAATATAACCTGGTATTTTGGAGTCTAGAAATGCCTGTGAACTCCTCAGATCACTTCTTCCCACTGACAAAGTATTGTTTTGAGATCCATCTGGTGTCAAGTGTAGGCATATGGCCCCAGTATGGCAGCGCTGCCTACAGGGGTGGTTTCCTGCAGCAGAGGTCTCGCTGAATGCAGTAGTCGTTGCCTATTGAAAGTCATTATTGTTTAGCACCCAGGTCTTTGTGAACTTGTTCAACTGGTGGCTGGGCAGAGTGCCATCCGAATCTATGGACATGAGCACAGACAGCTGAGTCTTTAGGGCCTTACACACATCAGATGTGGGTACTGAGGTCAGGCTTCTCAGTAAGGAGAATCCAAATGACTGTCTGTCCCGACCATGTGTATCTGTGGTTGAAGGGATATGCCATCATTAATCCAAATCTGGGCCAGATTAAAATTCTAAAATAAAAACCAGCTCTGCCAGCCACTTGAAGAGGGCTCAGGGCCTGTTTGAGTCGAGTGCATCAGCAGGGAGGGAGGGAGGAGGCAGAGGCGGTTGAGCAAAGTCACCACCCCCCCGGCCCTGTAGCGCTTCTCTTCATATGGGCGCAGGCGACTTGACAGATACTGAAACAGGGGGCTGGGGTGGGCTGCCTTCATCTCTTCGACTGCAGGCCTCTCCAAGGTCTGGGCAACGCTTCTGTTTCTGAGGCCAGCCCTCTCTTTACCGTGACAAGAGTGTAGACATTTCATGCTTTGTTTCTTAATTACACTTTCAGCACAGTTCTGGTAACAGCCCGGAGCAGAAGCTTTAGCACTCAGGGATCAGGATTGCCCATTTGACAGACAGAAATTTCAGGTTTATCAGCCTGGGCCTGGCTGTCCCTTTTGCCTGGGCAGTGCTCCAACCTGGAGCTAATTCAGGCTCTCTCATCTGGCCCTTTGAGAGCTGCTCACCTCTGCAGATGGACAGAACATGCACAGGGGAAGAGGCAGCAGCACCAGCATGGTGGCATCCACCAGAAGCCATCACCAAGATACAGGAGTAGAAAATCTGGTTGGAAGATCACAAGGACAGAAGTACCACAGATACTTCAGTAGGGTTGCTGAGAAAGCAAAGGAGAGACAGAGAAAGCTAAATCCAGTAGACTGTATTTGCACAGGGGGAGAAAACACCAGAGCATTAAGAGAAAGTGAATAATGAAATGATTCACTGCACGAAGTAATTCAGAGAAAGGAACGTGACCAAACACTGGGGTTTGCCTGTCTCTTGAGGGTCCCCGCAACTTGCAGACACAGACGCCCTGTGACACCCATTAAAAGATAATGCTGGGAACCTCCTATTCGAAATGCTGCTTTTATACTGTAGACACTAAAATCCCTGTTGAATTGCCTTCTGACATGATTCCTTACATTTCTTTATGCATTGTTGCCATATACTATGAAACTAGCTGCTTCTGTCCTCTGCATCAGTTAACTAAGCACCTACAGAATATAAAATATGCCGAACTGAAAAACTGAGAAGCTTTACCATTGTTATTGGAGAGTGTCGGGAGATTTCCCTGGAGAGGTGTGGTAGAACTGCAAAGAAGGATATGCTGTTATTTTAAAGCCTGACCATGTGCTGGTTCCTCCCCCTTTGAAGTCAGTGGCAAAACTCTGTTTTAGAGGAGCAAGACTGCTTGAATCGGCAAGCAAGAGGCAGCCTGGAGGCAGAAGAGGCTTACAGGGAATGGTTTCTGCTGCTCTTCTAGAGCACAGAGCTGTTCAGACATACTGGAGACCTGTCTGCCCCTCTCTCCCATTAAGGCTAAGAAATAAATGCTTTTAAGGTTGCCAAATGAATGGGCTGGATCTTACAGCCCTTACTCATCTGAGTATTGCCATTAACTTTAAGAAAATAATCACTATACTAAGTGCTATGGAGTGGAGTCCTTAAACTGTTAAATTCTAATATTTGTTAGAAGTGTTTCCTTGGTAGAAGAATAATACTGACGTAATTAAAAGGATGTGAACATTTCATCAGTTGAAGAGTGCAAGTTACTTTGGAGTGATACGTAAAGCTAGAAGCAGCACAGAGGCTTTAAGTCCATGTTAGGTCCTTAGGTTATTTTTTAACTTTATGAAAAACACACTTTAGCAGTTTATATCCTGACCATTCAACTATATTTTGGGATTCTGAACTCAAAACCATTCTAACCATGAAAACACAACATTTAAAAATACACTGTCCACTTGGCTTCTTTGCCCTGCTTCAGAGTCTCCCAAGTTTGTTTCGGACCGACTGAGAACTTTGTTGTGGAATAACTGTTTGAATTGGGGTTTCTTAAAATACACGTGGAGCCTTGTAGCTGCTGTGGGGTGTACACAGTGGTGAAGCTGTACTATTTTAAAATCATCTGGCTATTTCACTTTATGTAAGAATATCTGTCAGCTTAGTTATAAGGAGTGAGAGGGGTTGATTAAAACAACCATTAAACAAAGCCATTAAACAAAGAGATAAAATGTAGAACATGTGCCGTAGGGTCGTTTTAATTATATAGGGGATCTGTGGAAACTGGATGGCAGCTGCATTGTAGCTGAGTTTTAAGCACTGTTTAGCAGTACTGAAGTCCTGTTACTGTGAGGTTATCTTCTCTGTAAAGCTAATAGGTCCTTTGATAGCACCTAGATAGATATGAACTAGAAGAGGCAATTGCATATACTAATCATCTAGTCATTAGATACTAGACTATATAACATCACAGAAACCTGTGCAAAAGCTTTAGTCAAGAAGGGAAGGAATAAAAGATGTCAGTTGAACAGCTAGGAGAATCCAGAGAGAATGGAGAAGAAAAAGATGGAGGCAGATTATTTCATTGTCTTGGCGATCTTATTAGGTCAAAAAAACTGTATTGAATATACCGCTGTATGCTATAAGTATGTCTACTAAGTTAATTTAGCATGTAATCTGGTTTTAAACAGTGGATATCAGGCAGCCATATGAATTCAGTAAAAACTGTTTAAACTTCACATTTTGCTATATTCTTATTGACCTAGTCATAGGCATCAAAATTTAGCATAATTAATTCTAGCCCTATCAGAAGGGATTTTAAATCTCTGGTGTAATGTTGAAACCAGTCTCTAGCCACTAGAAATCAGGATGAGAAGCAGTAATGAAAGAAGACAACACATCTGCCCACATCAAAGTTTTTATAACTCCATCTACTCCTGCCAGAGACAGGGTCGTCAGCTAGGTAGACACTGGGTCTAGTTCAGCTTGGCAGCTCCTGTGTTCCCAATTCAACAAAGTTTACTTAAATGTCTGCAATACTTCTTATACAACTGAAACGCGGTAATTTAGTTAACCCCTTGTCACTGAGTAAAATGGGTTCACATGTAGGAGCATCACCACTTCAAAATATCCAGCCATTAAACTATACAAAGATTTGTTATCAAAACTCATTGGAAACAGCCAGAAAATTAATTTTTAAGAATGCAACCAGCAGTGAATTTAACTTTCTGACTGTAATTGCTGCAGCAGTTTGGGTCTTGCTGTGTGACTTGCATGCATCACTGAAACTGCCCAAGAAATGACATTTGCTTCTGTTTGGAGTGAATTCTTGGGAAATAACATGGGTGCTGTAACTTATGCTTTCCAATTTGCATAAAATAAAGACATAATATCCAGGACCAATTACATAAAAATGGGAAATAATTCCTTAGAAAGAGGATAGAGGACTTGAAGGAGTTACAGCTTGTTACTCTTGGCTGTAGCTTGTTGGCACATGAATATTCTGGGGACTGTTCCCTTGAGGACTTCAGATGTTGTATGTTATTTTAAAGAGACTGAAAGGCGCTAGTTGGGAAAGATACCCATCTCCATACTGGCTTGTGGGGCACCCTACTAGATAGCCAGTGTAACCGTGACGCCAGTCTGGCTCCTCAACATCCCCAGCCCAAGAAAATGTACAAAGACAACTCAGCTGCATTAAAATGAGGAAGAACTCATTTCTGCTCAGTGTTAAGGGAAAGTGTGACTCCCTGTGCTGTTAGAAGAGGACCTCTCTGTAGCAGAGAAATCAGTCACTGATCCAACAACAAAACATGGTTTTTCAGCTTATGCTCTCAAGGCAGCACACCTTGAGGTGAACTTTGGAGGGTCTTTCACAAACTCACCTCAAACTTTGAGAGTTTAAAACTAGAGGAGCAATAGGGGAAGAGCTCTTCCTAATGGGAAATCATGGGCCAGGATGCCAGCCTCTTTTGGATTGGCACCTGGTTACTTGAAGTTCTCACTTTCGGAAATTAAATTAAGCATTTTCCCATCACTGTAATGGAGAGGTTATCTCAGGTTTATTAGCATCATGCTAATACTCATCCTGTGGTACATATTTTCTCTAAGACCAATGGAACTACACATTTTAGGGTCAATTAGCTCTTTACATGTGTCCTATTGACTTTAGCGGAATTACTGGTGTGCAAGGAGTAGAGCTCATACAGTGATTTCTAAATACAAATGAGCTATGTATTTCTAAATACATATGAGCTCTACATATGAGTAGAGCTCATAGAGTGATTTCTAAAATACAAAATGCTAATTACAATATGATTCCTTAAGGAGAGAATTGAAGATGACTGACCATATAACACCTCTCTTCTCTACCTCTTTTACTGCAGTCCTCTGTGATGTCTGTTTGTTTTGCCCGCTTTCACCCAAACCTGGTCGTCGGTGGAACGTACTCCGGCCAAATCGTCTTGTGGGATAATCGCAGTCACAGGCGCACTCCAGTTCAGAGAACTCCCTTATCTGCTGCTGCTCACACGGTAAGGATAAAAATCACCTCCTCCTGTCCTTAGCAGAAATGGTCAGCAGGGAAGTGGAGCTCTCTAGTTGTGTCTACAATGCTGGTTGCCACACAGATGAAAACATAAGTGTGGCCCTTGAAGGGAAAGAAACAGATAAAAGAGATGTACAACCACCTCCTGTAAGTGCTTAATGATCACACTTCATACGGTCAGGTCAGGAGATTAACCTCCTTTCCATGGAAGAGGGCAGGATCAATTACAACACTTGAGTGAGGCACCTCTGTGCCAGTGCAGCAGTACTCTAACTGTTGCTCTCCATTGGCTGTAAAGAGAGCCAAGTCACTATGGGGACTGTGTGTCTGTCAGTCCAGCATGGCAGGCAATTGGAACCACTTATTGTTATCACACTGTACATGTTTCTCTTTTGAACCAGATTAGGCACCTATGGTAGTCTCAGTGGAGTCTCATGAGTAGACACTGGTGCCCTTGAAGAGAGTGGGGCAGTTTGCTTCTGTTTTCCAGTAAAGCAAGGCATAAATGCCTGTCGTGGTCTTCTACTCCAGACGGGACCATGGGGCAGAGCTTGCACAGTGAGGGGGAGTTTGTTTCAATGTGGACAAGCATTTTGCCAACACACACAGAACCTGCAGTTACAGTGATGGTGGCACAGGGCTCTGGTGATGTCTGGGCAATATACAGGCAGAGCATTAGCACAAAATGCCTGAGAAGGCAGAGAGTTTCTCTGTGATACAAAGATGATGTATGTGGTAGAAGACTCTTCCATTGCAAGGTATTCATATTGTGCTGAGGGGGGAGACAAGCCTGTATTGCCTGCTAAAGTGTCCTCACTCTGCTATGGTGCTGACCTCCAGTCCATCCAACCAAGATGTTGTGCATCCTTGAGCTCTCCTCTTCCAGAGTTTGGGCTCAAGCAGCCTCTTTATAAGAGCTGGAAGGTGTATCCTGTGGATGGTAAACATATCTCATCCTGGGAGGGGGCTTGGGATCATTCCTGAGTGGGAAGAGGGAAAGGAAATAGAGGCTGGAAGGAGGAGAAAAATGTAATAAAAGTATGACATAAGAATGCAGAAAAATGCAGATTTCCTGAAACAAGAAACTGAACTACACAAAGCACTCTGAAAGATAATAATCTTGTTCTAGCGGAGCGATGGATCAGACAAAGTGATAGGTCTTTGCACCTCCAGCTTTTACAATTCTGCCATTCTTATCTTTGGAATTTTGCAGATCAAGGGTCTGCTTTTAGTTGACTGTGACAACATAATCCCTGGAGTTAAAAGACGAATCTAGAAGCCATGCCACACGTATTAATGCAAAGGATTCAGTGTGGGGCCAGTATTAAGATGGCAAGTCCCTTATATTAAAAAATGACAGGTGTGCACAGACATGTTTAGAGGGCTGGGCAGTACAAATATTGTTCCCTGAATTTCCACTACCATGAAAGTTGATGTAATAACCTAATGATCTGTGCCATGGGTTTCAACTTCAACATTGCTTTTCATTTCCATCATGTTTTTGCTCATTTTGTCACCAGTAATGTTGTTCAATCTGCATAAAAAGAAACAGTCTCTCCTGGAAGTGCAATTTAGAGATGTATCAGACCAGAAAACTAGTGGCAAGAAGCTATCACTGAAAATTGAACAACTGGGATTCAGAATCTAGTGGAAAAGAAAAGATTAATGGGAAGTAATTTGTTTACACTAAAAAAAACATTTAAGACAAAATTGTACCTCCTGGAATTATATCTTAAGCTAGTTTTATTATTGCAATAGAACAATATGTGATGTTTTGCTTTTGACAAATATAAATAAATGACTTTCAGTTGTGGATGGGCACTTTATGTGCTGTCATGGATTGGTATAAATAAGTGTTTCACACAGTCTAATATGAGGAAGCATGGTGTTTTTAAGGAGTGATCAGATTTTACAATAAAAGAATGCTTACTTTATGTTCATATATAGGAATCATTTACATAAACTGTAAACAAAGTCTTGGTTGCAAAAGGCTCGTTTGAAATCTAGCTGCCAAGAAAAAAATAAAAGGAATAAATTAAGTCAACTCTACTGTAGCAATGTTACTTTATGTACTGATAGATTCGTGAGTTGAATAGTAATTTTTTCATTTGAACTTATGCCATATGTGAAAAAAGGATTTTTCTCTTTTCTTTCTCTCACTTTGTTTATTTGAAACAGATAGAGTGTGTTGTTATCACTGACTTAAACCTGAAGTTTAGTATCACTGATTGCCGCCTGGATTCACCAGGAAAGAGAATTCTACCCGCAGCTTACTCACTAATTTCCTTTCACACCCACCACACATCTGCACTTGGGACAACAGGAAATTTTAATTAAGACAAAACCCTTTTGCATGATGATTTCATTTCCAAAATAAATAAAAGCAAGCTGGCAGCAACCCTTTGAAAGGAAGGAGCCTGTTTAAACTTTCTGTTACATACAGTTAGTTGTCTTTTTCATCCATTTTCCTTACATCGTTTCAGTTCTGCTGTGAGTTTTATTGTGCATGAAATTGATGGCTGGTAGCCCTGATTAAAGCCAGACCTGACACACTGAGGTGATGCTGGAAAGACATGGCTCGGTCTCTCTCTCCCCGCTAAATATTCTAGATACTCCCATGCTTGCTTTAGTTTCCCCCTGCCCACTGTCCCTGTCTGTTTGAACTACTGGAGGTCAAACACCCATGAAAAAATATGGCTGCGCTTATTTCACACATCAGTATGTGCTAATCGTGTTTAGCACTGGAGTCATTATCTCACCACTAAGCAGCAAGAAGGTCCATTGTATGAGACGTGAGACACGTGAGGGACAGACTGGGGTCCATTTGATGATTTGGGGGAAACCAGTTGCCTGACAATCTTGAGAGAAAATGAGCATCAGAATGGATCTTGCGATTTACTGGTGTGTACAGGTGGCCTCCAAGCACAAGGTACCATTTCAGCAGAAATTGCTGAGTCCATCTTCAGTGTGCCTGCGCACACACACACAGTGCATTCAGATGCTGCCCTTTTTGCACTCAGGGAAGGGGCATTTACTGGGCCCACTCAGGTACCAAACCTGAGAGCTAGACAGTGCTCTGAAGATTTGTAACTTTCCCTACTGACTGGGTAGGTGACCTGCAGCTGGATCTTTAAGTAGTCCAAAACAAGTGGTAGTTCTGCCATTCATTTCAGCAGGAGCAAATGCTAGGTTTCTAACCCTGCATGGAGCTGGCTTAGAAGCTCTACAGGGATCTTGTGTAAGTTGGTCCTAGTTTTCTTTAAATAAGGGAAGTATTAATGAAAAGTATTTTTTTTCTTCCTGGAGATGCAGGTCTTCTATTCATCTGCAAAACGAGCAGAGAAATACAGTTTTTCTTTGCTTGACTTGTGTATATGTCTTACCCTTAATTCAGCAGTATCGCTTGTCCTGGTCAAAGGAGATTAAATCTTATTGTTCAGTCTGATTTTTCACTCTGGAGATTGCTGAACTTGATCCATCCCTCGTAAGTCACCATCAGATATCAGATGACGCTTTAGGCTCAAAATGTTACCAGGTTCCTTGGAAAAGGAATAGGCCAAGTTTCATTATTGCATACTGAGTGGAATTCAGCCTCCATGGAGTGACTATGCTATGGTAAACCAGGTGTAACACCCTACATTTAGTCACTTCACATTTATAATGACAGATTTTAAAAGGTATATTGGCCAGTTCTGGAGAATGCTAATGGACTTGTTCATGTTTTCCAACTGGAGTACATTTGCAAATATTTAGCATGCAAGCCAAATTCTGGGAAAGTTCAAGTTTTATGCATCTGTTTTCTTGAATAAAGTTTTCATTTTGATTCCATTTGGACAATTTGCCTTTTTCTGATGGTTATTTTCAGTGTCAAAAGCCATCAGCAGAATGATACATGTCCCTGTGGGTGAAATCTCATCCACATAATTCAGTATTTTCACAGCATTACTCAGCTGGGTTGTTTTATTATGAGGAAAATGAAACTTTGAAAACATTTGCACCTCCATAACATACCTCTTAACATTTAAATTAAAAAAACCCCCCAAACTATTCCTATCTGGCAAAAGCTAAGTCCTATATTTTCCAGGCATTATGTGATTACTTAATCGTTCTTTAAAATAACATATGAGGCATTAGAAATTTGTTCATGAAGATGTGAGAATGGTTCTCTGAATTCCCATGTTAATGTGTTTTCAGCATCCTGTGTATTGCGTGAATGTAGTTGGAACACAGAATGCACACAATCTCATTACGGTCTCCACGGATGGCAAAATGTGCTCCTGGAGCCTGGACATGCTCTCAACTCCACAGGTGGGTTTGTTTTCACCTATACAGGCTAAAAAAGCACCTTCAGTAGAGCGGGATACCTGCTTAATGGAACATAACTCCTAAAAGCCAAAACCTCATGTCCTATACAAACGAAAACCAATGGATGCACTTGAAAGAGTACAGCTTGCTTCCAGCAGTCTCTGCTAAGAGCCAAAACCCATTTCCTTTACCACAAATCATGTAATTATTGTAATACATTAATACATAGGTCAGTTTCAAGTGAAAATGAAATAATCCATTTTAAAGCACGGTAATTACAGAAGTCGCCTGTGGTATAAATTGTACTTGCTCTACAGCATTGTTTAACAAATATGGACTAGATTGCACTGCTGTTGAACACACCCTAGGCACTACGGGTTTCCAAGGCACACAGTCAGAAAGCTTACTTTGCTGACTGCCTTCAGTAGCCAAAGGAACAAACAATGCAAATCAAAAGTTTTGGAACTAATTTCCCCCCTCTGGAATGTTTGCTACTATTGTGTTTCCCCCTCGCCCCGCACCACTCCTCTCCTTTGTATCAGAAATGAAAGAGAACCCAGGAAAATTGTCCAAACCACTAGTGATTATAATAATGGAAACTAAACAAAAAATCTGATGCTGAAAAAGGTCTATAGAAAGCATCTTTTAAGTGTTATCTTCTGAGCAGTACATTTTATATTCCAACACATCACTCATTTTTATACATAATATCTTTGGAACAAAAAAAAATTAGTACAATTTTTGCTAAGCGTCATGGGATATTGCTTCAAAATGCTGTGTAGAGACTCATCTTAATGATTCCATTAATCATCCGTTACTCGTGCAATAATGCGCAATTACTATCAAATTATTTGCTTTTCAGTGTTGACACAAGAGGTGCAACTCCTCTATCCTAACCTTAGTTAGGTCCGTGTCAAGTCTAAGCTAGTAATTTGAGTTCCCTTTACAGTTAATGTTACATATTGGGCACTTCTGGAGGACAACTCATGCCATCCCAGTGTGAAATACCATTTCATATACCCACCCTGGGGTACAGAACTGTCAAATCTTAGGATGGAAGGGGCTTCTGGAATTCATCCCATCTACTCCCCTACCCAAAGTGAGGCCAACTTCAAAGTTAGATCATGTTCCTCATTCTCATCTAAGGCAATAGTATGGGTCGTGTAGTTATGTTCTGGGACTATGCAAAACCAGCACTCTTCTGGAATAGAAGTGGAGGCATCTAAAATGGCCCAGACATCTATGGTTAGGCACACGAATCCCTTCCCATTTCTCACTTCTTAGACATTAAGAAGGTAAAACCCACCCTTATATATTCATTTACTGAAATACTAAATTTTGAAGCAAAGATTTGTGAACATCTCAGTTCCAGTACTTCATCACTCAGATGGAATTTCCCTGCTCCAAAACTGGCTTTCAGCAAGGATGGGTACACACCCCACATTACGCTGAAGTTTGGCACATGGCTCATGGTGATCTAAAAAAGAAAGGCACAGGACTTGAGGTCAAGCTACATGCCATAGCTTTAAATTGGGAGGAGTAGAGTGTTGCTGATGTGTGTCTGTCTGAAACTTTCTAAAGACACAGCTCCAGAGCACTTGTGTACAGCCATGGTGTAGGCACTGGGAGGAGAGTCCACCATAGTATCTGGCCATTTCTCCACAGGGACACTAAATGATGATCACACCCCAGAAGATTTTCACAGAAATATACGGTCCACAGGTGCTCGACCAATGCATTTTCCAGGTCTTGTTTTGCCTTTTTAGTAGAACCAAAAGTATATCAAAGAAAAGTATAAACCAAGCAAAAGTATTTCTCTATGGATTTGCATCCCTCTCCTCTCTTAGTTACAGCAAAAATCCTTCTGAGAAAAACACTGCAGTCTTTGGCCCTAGAAGAATAGCAGATTAGGCATTTTAAACATATAAAACATACCCACTTAAATAGCTAAAAATGAAAATTGCTAAATCATTCAGCCCTTTTGTGGATTCTTGTGTTACACCATTTAGGCTGAACAATCAAAAAGTTGTGCAAAATCTGCTCAAAGCTTACATATCTTGCAACGGCCACAAACTGTTCATGCTGGTTGTACTTGCAGTAGAAGAAATGAGCATGCTGATTTACTCTGAAATACAGCTACCAAATGAAAAAAAGAAAATATGCTTGCTGGTCTGTAGCTTAATGCTAGAGTCTAGAAGGAGTGTTTATGGTTACCTCAGAAAATCCCTGAAAAGCAATGCTTACAATGGTGGTAGTGACAGGACCCCAACTTTTAAATTTTGTTCTGAAAGGGACAAATGGCGCAGCCTAATAAATGCCTTAGGTGCACATGATATTACATGTATTACCTGACAAACAATTGATTTCAAAAATGTTTGTAAATAGAAGGGTATTGCATGTTTTATTAGAGCCTGGGGCTGGTAAGTGTAACCATTAAGGTATTATCTTTAGTTTCTGCACCATTAGATTTTAAATCCTCACCTGTCATCTCTGCCTGATTTAAGATGATGTAGCAAAGACCAGTGCTTTCCAGCCACTCTCAAATGTGTGACAGACAGTGGTGGGGATGGCAGGAGCAGTGCATCCTAGTTTGTGACATTGCATCTTCTTGCAACGGTTCTATGTAGAAACCTGAGTCCTGTGTCTGAGTCAAATGACTTTTTCTTCCCCTCCAGCCACCCTCTGTAACATTTAGAAATTAGTTAGAAAAAAAAAACCAAAACCAAAAACAACAGCCAAACAAAAGGATGATTGCAGAATAATAATGAAGACCTGTTTCGGTAGGAGAGCATGGAGCTGGTGTACAATAAGTCCAAACCAGTGGCGGTTACCGGAATGGCTTTCCCAACCGGAGATGTCAATAACTTTGTCGTTGGCAGCGAAGAGGGAACAGTCTACACAGCCTGTCGTCATGGAAGGTGATGTTCAGCATTTTGTACTTAACTGACATTGTGTGCCAGTATTGGCATGCGGTAGCCAAGTGTGCGTGTGGAGAGTGTTTCATGTTTTTTCCCTTGGACCAACAGTGTCTGTACTCTTCTGCTTCACATGATTAGGACAGGAGTCGCCTGTCTTTGAGCATCTGTGCTACAGCCTGTTATACTGGGATAGTTGCCCCAGGTTCCCTATGTGGTTGGTAGGGAGCAACAACTGCTCTTAGGCTTTGATTACCTTTTTCAGACAACTGCCTGAAGAGAGGACTGGGACCTCAGAAATGCCTCTTTCTCACCTATGAGGTGAGAGCAGACAGCTAGCTCTCATGTAGGTATCTATATCTGGGCAGATCGAATCAGGCCCTAGGAGACAGTTTTGTTGCAGAGTCATCAGGCCTAAACCACTCATAAGAGATGTTAATCTGCTTTATTTTTTACCATTCTCAGCTGCATCTTCAGTCTCCACCGGCATATATCAGAGAAGAGCCACCACGGGCACATGCGCATGTGAGAAACAAAGCATGCATGTCCCAATGCATGGCCATCCAGTGCAGATATTCCTGCACAGCACTGCAGGCTCTGTCTGCGAGGCCAGGCTAGAGACGGAGCCCTACTGGGCCCCACTCTCGGTGGGCAGTTTGAACATGCCCACCCTCTCCAGGAGGGTGAGAGGGTTTTGGTGGACAGAAGGGGGCCATGCCACACCTTTTGCCCTCAGTCTGGGCTGCTGCCTGGTTTATTTGCTAACATGTACAGAGCCGCAGTGTGCCACGGGGGTACAGGAACTCTAACTGACCTGCTCTTAGGGGGCTGGTACCCTGTGCTCTCTCATACACGGTGGTCATATCCCTTCCTTGCCTAACCCAGGCTGTAGTTTAATACTGCAGGTTTCTTATTTTGCAGAATGCTGGGGTGCCCTGTTAGCTTGTGGTAGTACTTCATCCTCTGGGATGCTTGAAAGGCTTTTGTAAAGAACAAACCTTTTTCACTTCTAGATTTAAAGCTCACCCCCACACTCAATAGTTTGCAATATTCTCTGAATTCATGTTTTATCATATTCTGTGTTTCTGTTGACCAAATAGATAGACATCGATACATGGTTTAATATTGTAAGGCTTCTATTACACATTTCTAATGTTGTATAAATGCTGGTTTACATATATTTTGTTCGATATAATTTTTATTTTAAAATATTTTTATTTTAGCCTGACTGCTGACAGTATTGCAAAATTGTATCTATTTAGGCATTATACTGATAGGCTGTGTTGGCAGCTGATTGGTTGGATTAGTCTTAGGCTGCTAGGATAAATGAAGCATGTCCCAGGGCATTTCTCACATCTTTCAGACATGCCTGGGTTGCTCCTCACAAGAGGAGGAAGGTGCCTATGTTTTTAGCAAACCTTATGCTTGCTGACCATTGACAAATGCGTTCCCTTTCTACTCCTTCCTGTCTTTCCTTGAGCTTTTTGCTATCATTCCCATTTCCAGAGGCTCCTGTGTCCTTCAGCCCAGCACAGAGTGGAGAGCCATATGTTATTCTAGAAAAAGGAGTGTCAAAAGCTCAACAGATACACAAGGTGTTCTCACTGTTCCAGAACTCCCCTTATCCTGCCAACTACATGGCAGACAAATGGGGATAAAATAATAGACGTGTTTTGCACCCAGCACTGCAGAACACAGCACATGCTTCAGCACATGCTTTGAGGTCTAGCAGGGGAGCCTAAGTGAGGCCACACTGTGATATGAGGGACCAATTTCCTCCAGTTAAGCTCCTTATCCCTGGGTACACTCTATTCACACTGGCACAGGGCTGGCAGCCTTGTCAGAGCTGTGGCTATTTTAAATGTATTTTCTTCCATTGGCAATTTTTCTGTAATGTAGCTAAAAGGGTAATTTCACGATTCTCCTTTCTGTATACACTGCGAGACAGCACTGACAACTGGTCTGGCGTCATCTGCTTCCAGGAAGAAGAAAACTGCGCACATTCTCTCTTACAGAGTTGTATTTTTCCTTTCTAACAGCTATTCTAGCCTCAGGCCAATGAAATGCACATCTCCCCTAGTTCAACATAATGACTCTATGATACTTAATCACAAGAATGGTTCCTTCACTATTTGTGAAAAAGATTTACTTCCTAGTGACTTGATTGACTGCTGTGGAAAGTTATTTTAGATATTTAAGAAAAACAGAATTGCTCATGATAAGTCATTAACGTATTTGCATTTTTATTTTAATGGTTATTCCTTGTGATAATGGCTTACTCAGAGGCATAAGATATAGTATAATTATAATTTAGAATTATTTTGTAATTATACATAAATGTTATTTCAAGCTACAGTAGTAGACAGTGTATGTAAAAGTGAGTAATACAAGGCTTCAGCAGTAAGAGAGTCTCCCATTGCTGTATTCTGAGAATTAATTGTGTCCACAGGAGTAAACCTCTGCAGGCAAAGGCCTTACTGAAAGAGATTTACAGATTAAACAGCACTTTAAAAGGAAACAGGAATCCAAGAGTAAAGAAAAAATATGTTAAATCACCAGATGTTAAATCACTCTCTGAATGCAAATGTGTCTTCTTCCTGCAGTAAAGCTGGCATTGGTGAAATTTTTGAGGGCCACCAAGGACCTGTCACAGGAATTAACTGTCACATGGCGGTGGGCCCAATTGACTTTTCCCATCTCTTTGTCACATCATCGTTTGACTGGACAGTCAAGTTGTGGACGACAAAGGTGAGAAATCCAAGCTGGGATGGGATGGATAATGCTACTTGTGAAAATGTTGTTGTCAGAAATATTTCAATATTGTCTGTATCAAGTCCTAATAATCGTTTAACTGAAAGGCTGTACTTAGAACATGTGTAGTGATAAAATTATAAGAAAAATATGTACCTGTGTCAGCCATATTCACCCTGGAGCTTACCCTGCTCTTTAAAAGTAGTTTCAGCTGGCCTGTACTTCAGTATTAACCCTAGTCCTGGGCAATTTCTCTAGGCAAGGAGATTAGGACATCTTGTACTGCAAGTCATCAAACAATTCATCTAGAACTCCCTGTGCAGACTAAATTGCAAGGCTAATACAATGTACCATGGTGGTGCAGCAGCAGGAACACTTTCTTCTGATGAAGCAACAGGGGAAGCACATGTACCACTTAATGCCATCAATATCACTTGTGAAATTCACTGCTGTAGGAGGCTGTGGTAGCCAAAAAGTATAAATTGTCCCAATGACATTAGAAACTGATGGCTGAGCAGAGAGGAAATACATGCTGGAACGTAATACATTCATGGCCACCATGAATCTGTTGCTGACTTCTCCATGGACATGTCCCTGTGACCTCTTGCAGGGAGAGCACTATGAACAGCAGAAATGAATAGTCCTGGGAAGCTTTGAAACCCCAGCACCCCATAGAACTGTATGAATGCAGGGTAATGACAGCACAAGTGAACACTGTGGGACAGACTAAACAGACCAACCCGTTCCATTGTACAGGCTGAGTAAAACAGGAGAATGAGAGGTGAAATCCTAATTATCTAAGCCATCTAAACAGTTATTTTTGTCATAGAGAACTGCCTTCCAAATGCCAGGCTTTTGTCTTAACTCTGGTTTTATGCCTGTGTTTGGTTCACATCTTGAGCTGCGCCCGGCAGTTCCAGTACTGGAAGCTGACCCCAGTCAGGAAGTATCTCAGCATGTGTTCTTCCAAGGCTTGGAGATGCTAGGGCAGATGCACAGCAAATGTAAATACAAAAGTGATCAGAAGGGCTCATGTGACAGCCTGGTGCTAGAAACAGAAGCACTGTTACCTAGATAGTAACTTGAATCAGTTTCCATAGTAGCTTCACAATGCATTTGTTAATGGCCTGATCCAATGTGCCTGCTAATTAACATGTATCTTTTCCTGATCAGCAATGACCACAGATGACAGTTTTGTCTTGAGTGTTACATATTAGGAAACGCATTGTAAGAAAGGAGCATGACTTACCTAATTCACATGTAACCATATATATGAGTGGACCCAGCCTTAACCAATGCAGAAGTGGTCCAGGGGAGTGGTCATGGGCAGGCTGGAATGGGTCTGGGATAGGCCCTAGGCGGTAAATGTTAGAAAGGGCTGCAGGAGAACCAAGTGATGGAGAGCTTAGGTGTTAGCTGTTTGGGGCTGGCTAGGCTGTTTGGTGTCTGAGGTAAAGGAGTCCTGGAGAGTGGTAACTGATGGCTAGGGAGTATTGGAGGTTTGAAGTTGAAGGTGAGTAAGAGGAAGAAAATTCGTGGAGACTGGGGAGCAGATGAAAGACAGGTACTGAATTCCAAACATACATGTCCAGAAAAAAATCTGTGATGAGTATCTGGCCCCCAGCTTGAGGTTGAATATGGCAATAACGGTCTCATCCATCTGCATGTTAAGGGATAATAAGGCCTGTTGTTTATTTTAAACTCCTGGGATTTTAGAAGTTAGCAGTAACACTAACACAGCATATTTTGGGAACAAAGACACTGCAGTTAGCAATACACAGTTATCCTTGTGGAAGAACTCAGTGCCAAAATGGTTAGGTCAGATTCTGTTCAATACAGTCAATTTTCAAAGAACCAAACCATTTAAATTTCTAATATCTATCAAGCTGCGGCTCCTCTGGCAGGAGCAGCTTCCTGTGAAAGCTGTTTGACCTAGCTGATGTGAGCTGTGACGTGCACGTGACACACCACAGCACCACTCAGAGCTGGAAGCCACATTGCTGTATTGGATTGCTTGCTTTCTTCTGAGCAGGTTTGAGCAGCAGCAGCCCCAGGCTGCTGCACTGCCAACCACTGCCCTGTGAAGACATCCTCTGAGACACTAGACAAGTTCTTGAACTGTGATGAATGTTTTCTTTCTCTTCCAATTTGACTCTGGCAGAAGTTTCTTTCCATACTGTCTGGATAATTCTCTTTGCTGGAACTATTACATATTTAGGGCTCTTTGTTCAGTTCCCATAGTCAGGGTCCAGTCAATCAGTGGTCTTTGAATAAACCCAGCAGCATGTTTGATTCTCTGAAAAAAAATAGTGGATTGATATGAAGCATTGAGTGCTACAGCTGGTTTATGAGAGTTTACTCAGAATTGGTTTATTCCTTTGGTTTCTTACTTGTAAATTTAATCTCTCTATCAGCATCCAATGCCGTATTGCTTTCCTGCTTCTGCCTGTGTTGTCTACTTAATCCTGTGCACATTATCCTCTTTGGTCACGAAATTCGATTCCTTTCTGTTTCACAGGTTCAGAGTCAATGTCCAATTGTAAAGTGAACCATAAAAGCTCTGTGTTTATGTTGTCTATTGATGTTTTGTAGCACCCTGGGGTGCCTACAAGAAAGGCACTTTCATAGCAGGCATTTGGCTGATGGATTGAAAGCACTGTCTCCCTTAAAAACTGTGGCTTGACATTGTATAATCTGGTTTTGTGGTTAACACATTTTCTACCCAAAAGCAGTTCAACCAGGTGACTGAGAATAAGGTTTTCACTAACGGAAGAATGAAAGTTTTGTAGATAACACTAATACGAGGTTCACATTATCACCCATCACATTAGCCAATAATTAGATCCCTGGTGAACGATAAGTAACCAGAAGCAACAGGAAAAGAAAAGGAATTTGCAAAGATAGTAACTTGATATCCAGAGCATTACCTGGTTCCTGATGAAGTCAATAGGGCTTTCAACTTGGATTTATGTTATACCATGTGAGCAAATCTTGGATGCAGAGCTGTCAAAGGGAAGTCCTGATGTGAAGTGTCTGCGGAGCTCTGCCCTTAATTAGGTATTGTCTGTATGATGCTTTGAAGAGGTAGAGTGCTAAGTGGAAATGCTAAGTGTTGTTAATTAATTAAGCACTAATTCTCATGAACTAATAGCATGAGGTTAAATAATGAAATGTAAGTATTATTATTATTACAGCAATTGCTGTTTGGAGTGCGAATTGTCAGATATTGTGTCAAGGGACAGGAGCTAGCTTGGAATTGTTAAAGCATAGCAAAACATAACCTAGCTTCAGCTAAAGCCTAGAAGATGGCTTGTTTGCTGCTGAGTTAATAAAGGTCTGCATACAGATATGGATTTTGTTTTGTTTTCATCCTTGGGATGTCTCCTTTATTTCTTATCCTTCCATTGAGGAGAGGTGCTAATGACTGTTTTCCTCCTCTTGCATCTATACCTAAGTCATGCTCAGATGGGCAGTTGACTTGAAGAAAGATTGGAATAACTGTAACAGCATTGCTGTATCCCCATCCATGCTTATCTCTCTCTTTGCCTAATGTTTAAGTAATGGTGGTCTGAGTGCCATAATCAGAAGGAGGGACAAAGGTGAGCAGACTGGTAATAGGACCACAACATAACCATTAGCAAGGACTAATTGAGCGAGAGGACACAAGTGTCTTCAGCGATAGACTACCTACTTTTGTGTCCGTGCTCAGTTTTGTCTTAGCAGCATGTGCATCAATGGTAGCTCCTCCCTAGTCCCTCTCCTTTGTCTTCTGGTTTTTATGCTCTTCACATGCTGCTCTTTTGGTGTCCTGTGTTGTTCTAGTCCGCAGCCTGCTGTGCTTTTTGAGACACCACATTTTAAACAGGAAAAATTCATTCTATACTATGTTCCTTCACATACATTTCTGTACATTTATGTCTTATGCCTATCTGTTTGCTGATTATTTTGGTGTGTCCCAGTCATCCTGACTCTTGGAGGAAATTATTTTACCTTGCACTTTCATACCTTCCTATCAGCATATAACTTTCAACTCCACTGGTTTTAATTTGGTCTAGATGTTGAACACTGTCTCCTCAGAGGTCAGGCTGAAGCTTGTCACTAGAACAATGAAAACAAGCATGTGGTGGTGCTGCTGCTGAAGATAGGTACCTCTACACCCCTAGTCCCCTTCCCCAAAAGCCTGGCTGGTAGGATCTGATAGCATCAACTTGATAGACCAAACTTACTGTGATGGACAATGGTGTAGCAGAATGAATCCAGAGCATCGCATGGTTGTGTGGATTAGTCACCACGAAAACAGTGCACTCACAAATGGGCAGTTATTACTTTACTAAGATAACAGGGTCAGGTAGTCACCTTTTTTAAGATTAAGAACTTTCTATTTTTACATTACAAATACTGTGTATCAAGAGATCTGTTTACTGGTTCAGATTTTTTTTCTAGTATAATTTCAATCACATCAAGTAGGTGAGTGAGAGCCTCTTGTGTTACAGGTAACATTGCCTGAAGATCCAAATAGAAATGTAGTCATGATAAAAGGACAATAAACCTAGTGAACCATTACAACAACTTGGTGAATTTTCCCACATTAAAATTATTTTAACTGTAATTGGAAATGCTGGAGTCAATGACTCGATTTAGTGAAGTCCTGTGGCAGATGATTTGTGTGGATCACAGATTAGAGATATTGATGTTGGTGGTTAATGTCATGGAGCATTCCCCTCATTTATGGAAGATGTTTCTGTTGCAGTGAATATGCAGTTATTTATGAAGAGTGTAGGAGCTCCACGAGAGTATCCTCTAAGCCAGTGACTTGGGCACCAAGCCATGCTGCAAAGGTGTCTTTCCTAAGGGGGAGGCAGTGCTGCGGTGATCTTGTCATTTTGCTCTGAGCTGTATCTTGTGCCTATGAACAGCTCTGGTTTTACTGAAAGTAGGGTCATCTCAGAGTAAAGCTTTGATTTTAATGTGCTGATGCTGCCTGATGAAAGTCAGTTTTGTCCACTTGAGGCCAGCCCTACTTCTCCAGTTTGTAACAAGATCAGACAGGTCTCTGAGAAGTGGACTGGTGAAATGCAGAGGTTACTCATGTACCTTAGCTTGCATACACCTAAGTGAAAATG